ATATATATATATATATATATATATATATCATTAGCAGCAGCAACTCTGTGCATCTCCCCACAGGGCTGACTGCTGATCTCCGTGCCTCTCATGTATTCTAGAAATATTCTTGAGAGCCTTTTAACTAGCCCGGATTGCTAATCTAGGGTTGCTGGGCTGCCAGGTCACCCTGCCACATAACCAGCTGTTCTTCAACTTGTACTCTGTGAGCTTCCTTCTCTGAACCCACCACAAGGCAGCTGTCTCTATCTGGTTTCATTCAACTCCTAAATATAGTCTTGTCATCAGGTTCACTGGGTGTGGCAGTTGAGGAGTCAGCCTTCATCCTATTCCAACTGGATAGTCTTCCAATATTTTATCATCTCTGAAGGGAGAATACAAAAGACAGCTTTGGGGCACATTGCTTCCAGGACCCAGTGCAAGGGTAAATCAGGGTTCCTCCCCAGAGCAGACAATGAGGGTGAGGTATTGATCCCTCTGCCTTTACTCACACCAGCACTGACCAGCTGACAGATCCATTAGCAGTAGAGGGTTCCTGTTAGCATCTAAGAGCTGACCTGGCATTGGCTCCAGGTGTAATTGAATGCTTTAGGAAATTTGATTAAAATGTGAAAAAGATGCCTCTAGGTATAAAGCTGTAAAGACTGGTATTATCCAAAAGACAGGACCAGTTGTTCCTGCTGCTTTAGCTATCCCTGAAGGGGCAGTTGGCCAGGAGACTTGACACACTGTATTGCTGAAGTTTTAGCTCTGCCTAATGTAGGAGAGATTATTGCTGAGTCGAAGGCTTGCTTGTTGCCTTTGAGAGGACCTTAAGAGTCCCCTAATGCAGTGGCCTTTATGCCTTGCTCTTTATACGGTTTTTATGTAAGGGAATTATTGTTCTACTGTTTTTCTGAGAAAACCAGATGGCTGCACTGCCACGTTCACCAGGGACTTCTGAGATTTTTGCCAAGCTTATTAGCATTTGCCTGTCTCACAGAAATACTAAGAAGACATTACTTAGAATGTTTTGTGTGTTTTTTCCTGAAAAGCAGGCTTCTGATCTAAAGGACCAGAGCAGTCACCCGTATATGACTTTTTATTGGTTCATCATCCTTTGGGCTGAAGTATGCAGAGCTGTTGCCCTGGGCGGTAGCAGCTTGGCCTCCTTCAGCCCCATCTGTAGTTCACCCAGTTATGATTGCAGGTTTTCGTGTCCGCCTCAGATTGTGTGGAAGCCATAGATTCCCCCAGTATAGTACAGTTCCAGCTCGGAGAGGCTTCATCACAGCACTGACACAAAAAGACAAACAGAAATCTGACTTGCCATGTTATCCATCCAATAAAAAAACCACCCAAGGGGAGAGGAATAGATATTCATCACATCCCAGCAACTCAGCCAAGCCTGCAAGTTCAAGTGCAATATTTCTAGGTGAATTTAGGAAACCTTTCCTTGGCAAAGCAGAGAGTTCTCCTGACAGCTCTTTTTCCCAGCAGCCAGCCTGTCTGGGATAGAACAAAAGGAGTTCTACCCATCTGATTTGGGCTAGATAGCGGTTTCTACTTCCCCTGTGGTTCTGTGCAACATTGTGGAGGTTTGAATACTTTTTCATAAGTTAAGCAGAACTTCCTCTTCATGCTGCCTGCCTTTGCCTTTATCTATAATCAAGTGTTGGCTGCTGAGGTGGCCTCTGCCCTGGTTTAGCATGAGCAGAATAATAGCATTGGCTTGAAAAGAGATTCAAGAGGTGATTATGGGATTATTCAGTTGGCTTGTCACCAGAGAATTTATCTATTACAAAGGTCATGTCGATTTTTTTAATTCTGGAATTTCTACCTTAGCAACTATGTGCCTGTGTATATATTACAGCATCTACAATAGCTAAATTTTAAGAGCACTTTTGTTACTATTTCTTGCTTCTTCCTAGTATCTTATTTTTTCAAGAAAATTCTTTTGTTTAATGAAGGTTTTCTGAAAGGGGCAAGGGTGAGAACCTCACATGTAGTATAAAATTTAAAAGGTATATTTCAAGGAAAGAGTGGTTTGATTTGAATTTCAGCAGGTTGGGGTAATCTACTACTTAAAATGTGTACCCTCTGCATTTGGAAACTTAGCCTCCCCATGTGAGTAGGACATGTTTTTATTTTTCTTACTGAGAAACAAAGGGCGGAGTTAGGTCTCTTGGTTCGTTCTGCCAAATCGATCTGAGCTGGCAGTTATCCATAGTGTATAACTTGATGAGTGTCTTGGGGTTATTCTTTGCATATTGGTGGCAGTTATAATATTTAAAGGTAAACATGGTATGCTAAAGAAGGAATGTTCACATGTGATTTTGAAAAACACACAGTGATGGGAGACATTGATTCCATCCACCGATACTTACCAAGCAGCTGCCATGGCCCAGCACTCAATTAGCTCTAGTTACAGAGTGAACAGGACAGCGTGACCCCTGACTTGTGGAGCTGACTATCCAGAGAGGGAGAAATGGTAGAGACTTTTTCAAACAAGACTCCTTGATGAGTCAAGCCAGCTGATTTCTTTCATGGAGCAAGATGACAGGCCAGGTCAGCTGGGCCTAGCTTGGTTCAGAAAGCCTAGAAGCTGCTGCTCCCTTCACCAGTTATGTGGGCTAAGTGAGTCATGTCTATCTGTGTTCTTCCTCATTTTGAAAACCATTTCTCTTACCTCTTGGGATGATGTAAAGATTAATACAGTTACAATCCACTTTTGGTTTTTCAGAGGTGGAATGTTCCTTCTTGATTTGCTTTTCTTACCTTGTTATTCTAGCAATCATTAGGACTTCCAGCAGATGATAGGACTGGAAAGAGACAGGACAGTAATCTCAGGCAGAACATTGTGGGCCCAAGGATGAAAGACACAGAGTACACACGGCTGACATTGAGAGGGCAAGCAAGTTTGGGGGATGGTAGACTTCACAGTCCTCTGTTCCATAAAGTGAGGACTCTGAAATATGTCCGTTCCTTTGAGAAAATGCTGTATAAATGCATGGTGATGGTAGAAGAATACTTGCTATTTACTGAAAGTGATCAGAATTTTTTGGTGACATCTCTGTGTTTAGGAAAGAACAAATCCGTGTCTCAGAGGAGGCAGAGGGTGGCAGTTTGATTTGCCTTCAGAATGCTGATCTTTCACTTTTTTGGAGGTTTTATACAATTTTTTTTCTTTACAGAATGAAGTTGGCCTACTGGAGTTCTTCCAGAATGTGATAAAAGAAACTAGGGCAGAGCCCAAAAAAGTGACGAGTTGGGTCCTCAACACTTTTCTAGGCTATTTAAAGCAACAGAACCTTGCTGTCAGTGAGAGGTGAGTAGGGTCTGGGGATTTCTTCTTGCTTTGAGATGAACTCTCTGTCCAGAAGCAGTTGAAATAGGGCAGGGCCAGTGTTTTAGTGCCTGTTCCCTTCAGTATCTCCTGACAAGCTGTCCTTTATCACATCTGAAATCCATTTATTTGTTCAAATCTCTGACTGTCCACAATGTCCTTTGTACTGTGCTGAGGCCTGTGAATGAAAAACACAAGGAGTTTACAAGTTTGAGGAGCTACAGACTTATAAGAAAACAGACNACACCAACATCCCCTGTGAATTCCAGATTCTAAAGCTGTCCTTTATCACATCTGAAATCCATTTATTTGTTCAAATCTCTGACTGTCCACAATGTCCTTTGTACTGTGCTGAGGCCTGTGAATGAAAAACACAAGGAGTTTACAAGTTTGAGGAGCTACAGACTTATAAGAAAACAGACTGTGGGACATCCATGATGGAGGCAGAGCAGGTGGATGCTACGCTCATCTCCTCCCAGGACCAAACTGGAATTACAACTAAAATACAGAGCAATTAACCTGAATAACCAACTGAAGACTAGCTGAAGAGAAGTCTTGTAACCAAGGATTTACAGAAGAAGCCACATTGAGATTAGTAGGAAGGATGGAGATGTAAAAAGAGCTGGCCCCTCTCCCACAGGTGGTGGCTGAGATTCCGGAGGGATATCTCATCTGCAAAGGTTCCTCCTGAGGAGTGTGGGGTCTCAACAGAGCCAAGAAGAGGTCCCCACATAACATCTGGCTGTGAAAATCAGCAGGGATTCTGTCCACTGGGGAGACACTAGAGTCTGCTGGAGACACAGGCAGCCTCTTAAGGGGCCAACCCACAAAAGCTCATTTGCTGCCACTCACCCTGGGCTCCAGCAGAGGGAGAGCGGAGTGGACGAGAGTTGCATGAGGAGAGACTGGGTATTTGTGGCTCTGGGGAGAGAGCTGAAGGGACAGCCACTAGGATCCCTGTGCTGAGTTCTCCCACACCACAGACACCATCTTTCTTGTGTGGATCACTCCCCTCCTTACAGCATGAGCCTGGGTTCAGAATGCAATAGCCCCACGCTGTGGCTCTTTCACCTTGCTGAGGAGTCAACTACCTGGGCCTGGGTATAGCAGTCTGGACAGACTTGAGGGGTTTCAGTAACTGAGTGGTGTGGTTTTGGGGTGGGAGCCATTCCTCTGTCTTTTCATGAACTTGACTGGCTCCTCTACCTCACGGGAGATCCCCTAGCCCCACTCTCCAGACTCCCAGCAGCCCCACCTGCCTGACTCCTGGTGGCTCCACCTTGCTGAGATATGGGCAGAATCCTGGACAAACTGAGTTGTGTTGCTCTGGGGTAGGGGCCACTCCCTTACCTTCCCCTAAACCTGACCAGCACCTCCCCCTTATGGGAGATACACTAGCCCCATCCTTCCAACTCCCAGTGGCCCCACTCTGCTGATATCCGGCTCCTGGCAGAATCTGGGACAGACTGAGTTGTGTGGCTCTAGGACAAGGGACACTTTTCCTTCGCATACCCCACCAATGGAGAGCCCTCCCTTCACCTGGCCGAGTCATGGTCTGTTTGGGCCTGATAAACTCTGCTGGCCTTACCCTGAGACCCCAGCCCACTACAAAGGTATGCAAGCACCCAGCAGGTGGCATACTAGACTTGGTATACTCTGGGACATTTCCTGAGTGGCCTCACACCCAGCACTGGCACCGAGTTTGAACCTCAATCTGGTAAACACCACTCACCCCAACTTGACGCGCTGAGAACCTACCTCATGCAGCTTGAGTACTGCCAAAGGCCCTTTCAGTAACTGACCCTAACAGGCAGCCAGCAGGTGGAGGTGGATCTTGGGATACGTTGGAACTTTTGCTAACCTACCCTCAGGCCCGGTGCTGGTAAAAACCAACCGACCTTGGTGCACAGCTTGATCCTTCCCACACACCCCCAAGCCCAGCAGAGGCAGCCACAAATTTTGGGTCACTTTGTAGCTCCGCACTGGTTACCTAGGGCCAATCACAGGCAGCATCTGACATTGGCCTATACCAGAGTCCCTCCCAAGAGGCCCCTGATCCAACACACCCAGTGGCCAGCTTCAGACAACATCAGAGCAGGATCCAGTAAGCTTCATAGGTGACATATCCAAAAGGAGATCTCAGCAGGCACCAGACACTACTGAGGTGAATTCTACTTCCTATGGGCAGCACCTGCACAGCAGCACATACACTGCAGTACATGTCAATCCTCATAGCCAGTCTTAGGGCTGACCCCATGCACGAACAGGTCAGTAACAATCAAGACTCAATTACAACAGGTGGGCCTGTTGTCCACACAGGGAACATTCCTGGAGCACCCAGCTCAGGTGATCAAAGAAATTGTGCCACTGGGTCCCCAAGGACGCCTGCTACATAAGTCCATCCTACCAAGAGTGGGAGTCATATCAGACCTACCTAACACATAGAAACAAACACAAAGAGGCAGCTAAAATGAGGAGACAAAGAAACATGCCCCAAATGAAAGAACAGAATAAATCTCCAGAAGAAAAAAGAGTTAAATGGAATGGAGGCAATTTTTCAGATATAGAGTTCAAAAAAGAAGGATGCTCAAGAAACTTAGAACTACGACAGCATGAAAAAAGACATAGAAACCGTGAAAAAGAACCAGTCAAGTGAAGAATAGAATATCTGAAATGAAAAATACACTAGAAGGAATAAACAGTAGATTGGAGGAAGCAGAGGATCGAATCAGCGATTTGGAAGACAGGGTAGAAGAAAACATCCAATCAGAGCAGCAAAAGGAAAAAAACAATTTTTAAAATGAGTTTAAGGGACCTTTGGGACAACATGGAGCATGACTACATCTACATTATAGCGACACCAGAGGGAGAGGAGAGAGAGCAAGGGATCAAGAATCTATTTGAAGAAATAATGACTGAAAACTTCCCTAACCTGGTGAAGGACAGACATCTGCCTCACGGGGATATCCAACAGGCAGGCAGACATGTGGACCTGCCGCTGACAGATATATGGGAGGTATAAATCTGAGTTCTCATGTGTTCATTATTCAGCACATGTTAACTCAGATTCTGCTCCGTGTTAAGCCTGGGAAGACCAGTCGACACGACAGACACAGTCTCTGCTTTCGGAGCTGACAGGCCAGAGGCTGGTGATTAAAAAACAATGAGTCAGGTGCATTGAGAAGGGAAGGTAACAACTAAGCCAAGACTTGAGCGAAGGATGAGTAGGGTTAGTCAGGTGAAGTCCAGGGGTAAAAGTGTTCCAGACATAGGGAGCAGCATGTGAAAAAATCTTGAGTAAGTCTGAGTATGGCACTTCTGGGAATGCAAATACATAGATAGTAGAGCATAGACTTAGCAGCATAGAGATGGCATGTGAAGTCATGGGAGCAGATGAGAACTGTCAGGGAGGATCCAGTATGATAAGGTAGCTGAGGAGGAGCCTGAGACACTTGGCTTGAACTGAGAAGCGTGGGCAGAGAAGAAGGAGAAAAGCCAGGAGAGAGCTGGTGTCACAGATGCCAAAGAAAAGGAAAGTTTCAAGGAGGAAAGAATGAGCAGCAGGTTTAAATTTGGGGAGTGGGGGAGAGAGAGAGTTCATTAGGGACACATAGGCAGATGGCAGGACCCTGGCAAGGTCCCAGTCTCGGTGGAGCCCGGTCTTGGTAAGTGGGTGTTACTGTCTCAGTAGCATCCATGGCCGTGGAGAAGTGGAGTGGAAAAAATGAACAGATATTGATATATGATTCCAAAAGTTGTTTGCTCAAAGGAGTTGACTCTGTACCTCTGTACAATGCCAACTTGATATTCAGCCTCTTGCTCCCAGTATATAGATGCATGTGTTAATGTAGCCATGTGAGGTCAGTGCACTTCCTTACTTAGCTACTTGTCAGCAGTGAACTTGAATGAACTCCCCTCTCTTACCCTCAGTTTCCTCACTGTAGAAGAAAATGACAGTACCTACCTCCAAGGGTTTTGAGAGAAAAGTGCCCAGTGCCTGGCACATAGTGGGCCTTCAGCGTTAGTTCCCTCCTCTTTGCCATCTTGGTGTATTAAGTGTAAAAGCAATGGCTACCCTCAGTCTCCTCAACTATCTGTCTGTTGCCTTTTGTCTTTCATTCCTGTTCTCCCAGATTTGACTCTTCAGAAAGTCCAGTCTCTGCACTGAAAGCAGTGTGTGTGGCCATTTAGTGAGGCCTTAAAGGATGAACAGGATTTGGTGAGGGAGAGGGGCTGGGCGACACCAGTGGTGAGCCAAGGTGTGGAAATGGAACGGAACCGGCATGTTTTTGGACCAGGAAGGAGTATAGCTGGTAGGCCAGAGGGTGGAAAATGGCAGAAAAGCACAGTTGACTGTATCATTGGAACAGAATCAGAATATGGAGGGTGTGGAAAGTCACAGGAAAATCCAGCCATAGCCAGTGAGTAAGGGTAGAGCACCACTCTGGAGAGAGAAACAGGACCCCCTTCCGGGCCCTCAGGAAGCCCTCCGTCTCCTGGGGAGGCCTAGACTTGTGTACCAGTATTTTAGTTCAAAGCAGAATGGGGTGCTTCCTGTTGTAGAACTCTCCATGGTGCAGTGGGAGCAGAGGGGAGAGGATGTCAGCCAGGAGATGCCAGGAAGACTACAAGAAGATGTAGTGTGAGCTTTTGGAGAAAATACAAATGTTAGCTTTGAATTTATGGTTTCTATATTGTTGGCTATGCCTCCTGAATTTTAGTTCTTGCAGAGACCTTAGATATCCTCTGATCCAGCCCCTTCATTTAGCACATGGGGAAATTGAGGCCCTCATCTGTAAGGTGACATTATACCCTGCTAAGACTGGAAGCCAAGTCCCCTGACTTCCAGGTCCGTTTCCTCATATGTTGGTCTGTGAAATTAGGGGCTTGCTTAATGTGTTGGTAGCTTCTATAGGAACTGGAGGTTGATAAATGAGCCTGTTGCGTGAACTTGGAGCTCCTGGTATTTACTCAAACAGTTTATAAGCACTAGAATTTGAAGAACCTAGAGGGTACAATTGACCCTTGAACAACACAGGTTTGAACTGTGCTGGTCCAGTTATACAGAGATTTTTTTCAATAAATAGTGTAAGTGAATTTTCTCTTCCTTATGATTTTCTTAATAACATTTTTCTTTAGCTTACTTTATCATAATAATGCATATAACTTACAAAATAATGTGTAACCAACTGTTTATGTTGTTGGTAAGGCTTCCACTCAACAGTAGACTATTAGTTAAGTTTTGGAGAAGTTAGGCTATTAGTTAAGTGGATTTTAGACTGCACCTGCAGTTGGTGACCTAAACACCAGCATTGTTCAAGGGTCGAATGTTCTTGGTTGTTCCAAAATCAGATAGAGAGGAAGCTAAACAACAGTTGCCTTTTACAACTTCTGTAAAACAAGCACTGAGGAGCCCAGACCTAGCTGGAGCAGCTCTCTTCCTGTACCCTTCAGAGACCTGCTAGCTGGACTGTTTGCCAGTCTCCCCTCGGAACAAACATGAGTGAACAACCTCAGCCACTAGGGCGAATGTTCCCAACGCTTAGAATAGCAGTACTGCAAAGCTAGCAATAGTCTCATGATTACACCTGCAAGGAACACTCTGGAGATAAGTTGACAGGAACTGATTTTGCAAATCAGCATCCATCTTTAAAAACCTTTCAGAAGACTGGTGCTTAAAGGGGCCAACCACAAAAGCTCTTGTTGGACTTTGGACCTAAAACGAGCTTCAGGATTGAGATGGGCAGCACAGTTCTCAGGTACAGCTTGGCCAGGTCATGGTTGAAAGGTGTCAGGGTATCTGTTGCCACAATCCAAGCTGGAGATGGAGTTGTGATCCTAAGAGAGCTCTAAAGGACTGGATGAAGTCAGGAAAAGTGAAATACCCCATCTCCTGGGCTCTGTAGATATGTTGGCCTCGGGATTGGAGGCAAGCACACAAAGCTTAACCTTCAATGTCAGATCATTCTTTCCTGGAGACGTGTTCACTGTCCAGAAACTGGTATTATCTGACAGCAACAAATTAGTAGCTTGCGCTTCTGCTGCTGTTATGTTCCATAGCTAATGGTTTATTTATTTATTTATCTGATGAGGGGGGTCCGTCAGGGTCAGTGAGACAAGAACTGATCTTTGTCATCATCTTACTTGAGATTAGCCCTAGTATATCTGGAATTGGTATATGCAGTATAGCAGATATCCCTATTGGGGGGAAGAAGTCCATGACACAAATTTTATTGACTTACTATGTGTCAAGCATTGTGGGTATAAAAAGGTGATTGAAAAATCTCAGGGGCTGTTAGGTCAGTGGAGGTGTTTTATAGTGCAAATTTATCACCTAACTAATGAATTGAGGTCATTAGGTGAAAGGCAAAGCATTTTTAGTTATGTTCTATTTCTGTCCCAGCATCCCTTATATATGGACTCATAGGGAGTAGGGACCCTTTTTTTGCATGCTCTAGAAATCCAGTACTACCTCACTGCTGATTGTGGTTCTACACAATCTACACTCTAATTGGCCATTGTATTTTCCAGGATTGCAGAACATCCCAGAAACCTGATTCTGTATTACTTGTAAGGGTGGGAGGTTGGGAGGTTGGGAAAAGCTTATTTCCCAGCCCTCTGCCCCTCTTCTTGTTGAAATTTAATCAGGGGGCTTCACAGATGTTCAGGATACTAGCTTAATCACATCAGACACTCTCCAAACCTAATTTCCACTTGGAGTCACCTTTACCCATACATACTTCGGGATAAACAAACACTTTAAGGATGATGCCTGCCTCAGTGTGTTAGCTGTTTTCATGAACCACCTTTCATGAAGGTTCATTGTACTTGCATCAGACTGTACAGTAAGGCATATCTGGTTAACTTGCACTCGATTGGTCTGAAATTCATGGAAACTGGCAGAGGCTAAATGGTAGCTTCCTTTTTATTATCTAAAAGCTTACAAAGAAATTAATAGTGAATGATGGCAACCGAGACTCAAACAGAAGGTGTTTTCAAGTGGTGTTAAGCATTTCAGAAGCTTTCATTTACACAGACACGCTAATGTGCTATTTATAAGTTGTTCCTGTCTATTTAAAACTAGACCCTAATGACCTCAGACAGATAGCATTTCAGTGGCCTAGTTGCTGTGCATGTTTGGAAGTAGCAAAACCTTATATTTAAAAAATAATAATCTGTAATTCAATCTCATCTTTTCACTCACCCCCACCCCACTAACTCCTACCCCTAAATGTAAATTAATGACACTTCATGTGTTTGCTCGCTCCTTGGACTTTTATATCACAGAATCTTGGTAAATAAGTCACGTCCTAAAAGTATAATGAATTCTGGGCCCTTCTGTGTCCAGAAAGCTGTTGTGGGCCTGCAGGAGAGAGCAGTCTATGGAGATGCCCATGAAGACAGCGAAGGGCGTGGTGGGTGGTCATTGTGTACCCATAACGAAAAGCTCTCACAATTCAAAAGAATTTATATTTGCACAGAAACAATCAAAAAGTGGCTTTGTTAGCTGTTTTGTTTGAAGTAATTTTTAGGCTGATCTTTCCGTTGAAAATACTTAATTACCGGGGTTTTTTTTCCTTTCCTCGTCATGGTTCATGAATTTTGCAACCACCTCCTTTCTTTGACTAATTAAACTGAGCAGTTGTCTGTTGCTACAACTTCTGCCAAACAGCTGTTATTATTGGGTGGTAAAACAAAGAAAAACAAAACTAGTCACAAAAATGTGTTATATCCTAAAATACTAAATAAATAAATAAATAAATAAATAAATAAATAAATAAATAAAATAAAGTCCAACTAGCCTGTTGTTTTCATTCCCAGGTGGGGGTTTAATTATTTAAACCTGTAAAATCAAGTGTTGCAATTCTGAATAACTGTAAATGGATACGCTGACATGAAATGTAAATCTCTTTTCTTTTGGGGGCTGCTAGTCCTGTCACACCTTCTGCACTGGCCGAGCTTCTCAACCTCCTAGACCGGAAAACCATTTCTTCAGCAGCAGCTAAACAGGTATGTCCACACTTCCTAAAGCTCCCTGCCGCTCTGCTGTCCCAGCAAAAGTTCTCTGTGAAACTCAAATGCCTCCACTAAGTGAATTTCATAGGTGAAGTAGTAAGTGCTTATAAGTGCTATCTGTATGTATACTGAAAGGTAGAGATATTTTATTTAGCAAATAAAATAAACCCAGTCTGAGCTAGGCAGGTGATTTGCTTCTCATCTTTGCCAGCCAGGGGGAATACTTATTGCTTTGCCTGGCATGTTTCCCAAACATTTGTTTATGTAACAGGCTGGGGCCCTGAAGTTCCTGGGGGCTTCTGACTGTGGAACTTGCCCTGTGCTATGGGAGGCCCAGGCAACCTCACTGCTCCCAGCCTCTGGTGCTCCCTCTCGCATCCTCTGCAGCCTCCCAGCTCAGTACCAGGGGCTCATTTTTCTTTGTCGTGTGGCTGCCCCTGAAAGTCTTTCAGCAAGGAGGGTGAGGTCAGACAGGCTGCTTAAAGAAAATTTTACACGTGCCCAGCGTGTGTGAAAACTCAGAAAAATAGCATCATCATCAAAGGTGGCCTTTGCCTCATCTCCACCTCTACCTAACAGTCTTAGGTGGATGAAGGATTCCTGGAATTCTGAAAACTCAGACAAATAAGTACCCAGAAAGATAAAGAACACCAAGGTGGCCACCTGATCTCCACTTCAGATATCTGTAGCTTTCAATGAGGCAGCCAAAAACTTAATGTTATTTTAATGGTGCCTTTTTCATTTAATAGTTACACACATCAACAGTGGTGGCAGATTACAGAGTGAGGCTTTGGAAAGTGGCTGCTTTTGGCTAATTAAGAGGCACCATGGCGCATACACCTGCCCATTTGCTGTGAACCTGGAGACGGGAACTGATGAAAGACTTTACCCACCAAGTGAGGCTGTCAGCCGCAGGGCCCTCGCCACCTTCAGGAAAGTATTGTGGCTGCCTGGATGTCAGAGGAATACAAATGTTTATGACAGTGTTCAGCAGTAGCAGAAAGATTGGATGGCCTGAGGGCAGAGAATATATGTATGTGTATTAAACAGTAGATGAATTGTAGCATTTGAAATGGGGGGGGGGGGATCTTCCCCTTTCCACTCATCTTGCCCCACAAAAAAAAAAAAAAAA